AATTTTTTTTTTTTTTTTTTTAGTATGTCTTATCGGTTTTATCGATAAACCGATAAACCGAAGAGGACAAAATCGAAATCGATAACTCGATAAGAAAAATTTCGAAATCGATAAATCGATAAACCGATATCGATAAACCGATAACAAATAATAGATTCGATTTATCGATAAACCGGCAACTTCATAGTTGAATGTTCAGATTTGCTTGGAATGTTATGTGTGCTTAAAGTTAATTTTTTTCTCTCTCTTTAGATTGCAATGAAAGTTTCTGAATTGCTTATATGAGGTTCTAAAATTTTTCCTTGTAAGTTATGTGAACATAGGGAGATCAAACGGTCTCATTCGACAACAATGATGTAAACTAATAAGTGTCCCTGTAGTAAAGTGTTCTTTTCATGTAGGATTGTTGTTAATCTGAAGTTGTCAACCTACCAAGTTTAGCCTTTTCATCCTATGAGAAACAGAATATGTTAATTTAGTTATTCCTATTGCTAAATATTCTAATCTACGTTGCTACCATCCTAATCGTGCTGGACAATTTACCTATTGTTGTATCTGTTCTTTGTACAGCTAATTCAAGAATATGGAGTTTATCAACTTCGTATTTTCTAGCACGTCGAATGCAGATAACGTACATTGGCCTCTCAGTTGGAAAAAAATGGATATAAAGTGGATAAGTGCACCATTTTGTAACAAGTTATAAGGATTTTAGTTTAGATGCTTGTCAATCGATAGATCCTATCCCTGCTTCTGTTTGCATTACTACTAACCACTGTTGGGATCAATATAACCTCTTGCTTTCTGTCAGAGCAACATATTTTATTTTTTGAGTACTACTGAAGGGTTAAATCACTTTTGGATTTACAATTATACTTCGGCGAAAATGAGGTAGCAAGCATAATTGCTAAGGAAATTGATACTTTAGCTCTAAACTGCCCAATGCAACTTCTTTTGGATCTGCTGCTTCAAATAATCATAGAGGACATGCGAAAACTTTACGGTTCCCGGGCTAATCGTCACTAGTCTGTTATATGTACGAGCAGTTTCAGAGTAGTGGAAAGCAAGATGTTGTAGCAGTTTCTGATTTCTCATCCCAGTTTCTTCTAGAGTCTCCTCATCCCCCTTCTGGCTATTTCTATCATATATCTTTATTGCAATCCTATTTTTAAATTCCTGTAATCTTCATTGTGAACATTCAGTTGTTATTAATCTACTATTGGCTACTGCTATTTTAAGTTGAATAGTAGTTTGTTCCAATTAGCCTATGACGTCTCATTGGCTATCTCATGTAAATATGTCCAAAAGTTGAGATCGAAGGAGATTACTTCAGTTATAGTGCTATGGCAGAACCATCCGACTTCATAGGCTTGGGAGTTCGAGGCTGACATGCATGACATATATCGTCACTTGTTTAATGACATAGGTATGATTGTAGACCCTTTAGAGGACAAATATATGTTTAACTGAACTCCTCATTTTTTTTATTTGGTGTTCCAAATTGTATTTTGAGTAAGCAAATAGATTGTTACTACGATATGACTCATTGGTCTAGTTTATATTGAGTTATCTGAGGGGTTAGGATGAGTTTTATATCAGTTTTGGCCTTGAATGTTGTGTGGTGCACAATGTCTAGTGCCCCCCTAATTGTGACACTAGAGCTGTGATGGCAAGATGAGCTAGGGTTTGCCGAGGCGGTTGACTAGAGCGAGTGCGAGGGACTTTTTTGTTATCACAATAGAGAGTCGTGAATCACGACCTAACTGATATTTCATGGGCTCTATGATGAGGCCCTAGAGTGCAATCAGAATGATTCGGTCCAGGTTTATGTCATGGCCCAAAATTCATCAATTTGTGATGACACCTAACACGTCGGCTAGTAATAAGTCTAAACAGATTCAGTAATATCATAATAAGGTTAAGTGTGATAACAAAGTATAAAATAACACAACATCCTCTGATTTGGTGTCACTGAGTACATGAGCTTCTAAGAGTAGCAAAATACAAACTGGAATGAATTCATAGTACTGTCTGAATGAAATGAGCAGTTATAATAAAAGAGAGGAAGGTAACTCCAAGGGCTTGTAAATTGATATGCAGCACTACCTTAAGTCTCCAAAATCAACTAAGTACCTCCTTAAACTCCACTGGAGTCAATACCTGAATCTGCACAAGAAGTGTAGAAGTGTAGTATGCGTATAACTAACCCAATGTACTCCGTAAGTATCAAGTATAATCTCAAAAAAGTAGTAGCGAGGCTATGACTAACACGAGACTTACTTCCAAAATCAAATAATCAAAAAGTGAGAACAAAAAGAAGGAACAACATTGTTTTTCATTCCCATTCCCATAAGAATGAATACTATGATTCGCGTTTCGAACAGGCATGAATACAGCATCTATAGGATAACTTCCATCTTGAAAGTTATGTGACGTTTTTATAAGATATCCACCAGAAACAGTAAATATCAGTAATATAAATTACAACCAAAGAAGATAATAAGCATGCTCTCAGAGATAATGATCATAGCATATTACATTGAGTCCACGTAAGATAAATGATATTCATGAAATAGCATGTAAAGAATGCTTCTACATGAGTGTACGATATATATACTTGCTCAAAACTAAATCTTTTCAAAGTATTAGTACCAATTCACACACACTCATTACTCTCCGTGTGCCTGACACAAGTCCCCTTACAATCACATGCACTCTCTATTGTACGTGTCCCTGGCATAAATTCCCCTCACTATGCACTATTTTATGTGCCTGCATTCATAGGGCCCAATGTGACATGGTTAATCACTTAACTCCGGAAGAACAGATTCAAATCCAAGCTTCTTTAATAATATTACTCGAAGGCTAAAAACTTAGTCATCAATCTGCTTAATGTCTCGGTGCGCCAAATTATTTCACAGTACCATAACCATATCAATCCATTTGAACTGTACCATCGCATCCTAACCAGCTCATATAATTGTATCCATATGCAGAGATGTATGCATTGAGATAAAGTATACATCGTGCATAATTAGGACATAAGAAATAAATATGTGGATATATGTGCTCACAAAGTAATGTATAATTACGGCTAAATCAAATAACTCAACATATCAAGGATAAGTTATCATGTCCAAATAAGGAATCATAATCTTGTATGATCTCTAGCAAGAATAACAAAGCTCATGTAGTCATACAATGAAATAAAACATGTATCAAGAAGAATAAATAATCAAACAAGGCATGAAGAAGCCTAAAGCTACTCCAAATATGATATAATCCTTGATACGTGC